CCCCCCCCAAAAAAAAATCCTGCACTGCCCCCTCAACTCCCTCCCGCCATGGCCATGGCAATACTATCTACAAAATCCTACTCTGAACCCAACCTATCCACCTAGCTCCCTATCAACCTATCTTTACAAGGCCACAGCAGTGTAGGTAAGAGTCCTTTAAAGGGGGAAGGGGTGAAAGAAGTAGAATTGGGTGGGAACAGCTGCCTAATGATTTTGTGCTTGAGTGTTGGAAGTGAATTTTGCATACTAGCTTGTTCTTTGCAGCTTGTTGGTGCTGCACTGCCATTACTGTTACAACGAGCCTGCAAAATGTATACTCAAAAATGGATCAAACAAACTCTACCAGCTGTTTATTTTACCTTCTACCTAGCCATTGGACAGGTCCAGGGTTGAGAGAAACATGAACGTAAAAATAAAACGTTCAAGTTTACCTAGCTTTGGGTGTTCTAATTGGGGGGGGGTTTTCAACGTCTAAATAGGCCAAGGCATCTTTCAAAGACAAATACCTTCTAGGGCTGATCATCCTACACTTCTGGTTTCTCGATACAGTGGATATGGACAATCTTCTGGTCTTTTAGGCGACACTTAGTGATCTAGATTTTTCTAGGTGGAACATAAATCTGGATGAGATCACTAAAATGGGAGGGAGCTTTGTTACTGACATATTGCAATTTTATATGGGTTCTAAAGGGTGAATAACGTGGGGTTGGGGCATAGTCAAGACAGGGGTTCTAAAGGGTCAACAACGTTGGGTTGTAACTAACTCAATATACAGCTTTTACTAAATCAAAATTCAAGTTCTAAAGGGTCAAAAACGTGGGGTGGGAGCTATATCAGTACATGGGTACTAAAGGGTCAACAACGTAGGGTTGGAACTAAGTCAAAATAAAAGTTCTAAAGGGTCAACAACGTGGGGTTGGAGCTAAGTCAAGATACGACTTTTAAATGGCTAATAGCGTGGGGTTGGAACTAAGTCAAAATATATGGTTCTAAAGGGCCAATGACGTGGGGTGGGAGCTAAGTCAATACATGGAAACTAAAGGGTCAACAATGTGGGGTTGGAACTAAGTCAAAATACAAGTTCTAAAGGGTCAACAACGTGGGGGTTGGAGCTTAGTCAAGATATGACTTTTAAATGGCCAATAGCGTGGGGTTGGAGCAAAGCAAAAATTTAATATATTGGTTCTAAAGGGTCGATAACGTGGGGTTGGAGCTAAGTCAAAATACAAGTTCTAAAGGGTCAACAATATGGGGTTGGAACTAAGTGAATATACAGCTTTTACTAAATCAAGATGCTAAAGGGTCAAAAACGTGGGGTTGGTGCTAAGTCAATATGCAAGTTCAAAAAGGTTAGCAACATGAGGTTGGGGCTAAATCATGATACGGGTTCTCCAAAGTCAACAACGCGGGGTTGGAGCTAACTCAAAATTCAGGTTCTAAAGGGTCAACAATGTGGGGTGGGAGCTAAGTCAATATCCGACTTTCAAATGGCTGATAACGTGGAGTTGGAACTAAGTCAAAATATATGGGTTCTAAAGGGTCAACAGTGTGGGGTTGGGACAAAGTCAAGAATCAAGTCCTAAATCGTTAACAATGTGGGTATAGGAGCTAAGTCGGAATAATAATAATAATAATAATAATAATAATAATAATAATAATAATAATAATAATAATAATAATAATAATGTAGATCATTTCTATGCCGCCCACGCCCGTGTGAACAAAAAACTCTAGGCGCTTTACATAAATGCATGTACGAACAATATTCATGCACGCACACGCACACGCACACGCACACGCACACGCACACGCACACGCACACGCACACGCACACACACACACACACGCACACACACGCACACACACGCACACACACACACACACACACACATCTACTCGCTTTATCATACGCGCACGCTTGCACATCGTTTCGAAATGAGCTCACACAAATACATAAAATAATATACAACAAGCAATTCGCAAAATACATAAATGGATACATAGTCATTTACATAACATTGTACTGAGCATGAATCTACTGACAAAAAAATAATATATCTTTAAAGATACTATAAATTTAGACTCAGATGTCGTATGAGACTCAAGGGTTGGGGGAGAGAATTCCAAATTGATGGAGCGAGGTGGGCGAACGATCTTTTTTACCTCCTTTTCTAGGAACTCGTAAAAGATACTAATCGCCTACACTTAGTGATCTAGATTTGCTAGAGATGGCTAAAATGGGAGGAAGCTTTGTTATTGACTCATTTATGACATAATATTGCAATTTCATATGGGTTCTAAAGGGGGTTGGGGCTAAGTCAAGACTTAGGTTCTAAATGGTCAACAACGTGGGGTTGGAACTAAGTCAAGATACAAGTTCTAAAGGATCAATAATGTGGGGTTGGAGCTAAGTTAAGGTACAACTTTTAAAGGGCTAATAACGTGGTGTTGGAACTAAGTCAAGATACAATTTTATTGTTAACAAAGAAGATTTGAAAAATTAAGTTCTAGTGGGTCAACATTGAGCCTTCGGCACAATGTCAAGAATGTGTGATCTAAAAGGTCATCAGTGAGGGGTCAGAGAAAGTAAAACCATTCTTTATTCTTCCTTGTTCTCGAGGACACCAGCTAGTCAGTCCGATGTCGCGCACTTACTGCAGTCTGCTTCAAATCTGAGAGACTGCCGTAGAGCTTTCTGTCAAGAGGAGTCACATTCTGCCACGTCTGTGTACGAAGGGTGGCGTAGCGCGGACAGTGCTGAAGGATATGGTTGGCATCCTCTTAGTCGTGTCCACATTCGCAGATCGCGGACTCTCCCACTTTTAATTTAGTGTGCATATGGTGTTTTGAGTCTGTTGTGGCTACAACGGAGTCGAAAGGTTGTGACCTGGTCTGCTCTATTTAGCATGTAGTAGGGGTCACGTCTGTTGTGATTAGGGTGGGATCTTTTCCGTCTGTTTCTTTTCGCAGATATTAGCGTTTTTGACTGATAAATCCATGCTATCCTAAATATGGGTCATTTTGGCTCCTTCTTTGGCTAA